CCTAATAATGGTTTATCATTCCTCATAGATACTTGCCTTGCTTGGATCCTGACCTTGATTAAGCTAATATCTAGCAGATACACATACATGACACTGAACTTAATGTTCCTGCAAAACCTAAATTTTAATTTAATTTTTATTTGACACATAAAAACTGCATTTATTTATGGAGAACACAGTGATATTTAATATATGTATACTTTGTGTCAAGATAAAATCAGAGTAATTAGCATATCCATCACCTTAGAAATTTCCATTTCTTTCCTCTCTTCTATTTATTTTAAAATATATACTACATGATGGTTAACTATACTCACTCTATTGCACATTAGAAAACCATAAAAAACCTAACTCCTTGAATACTGATTTTTTAAATTCTGCAAAATAGGAATCATCATTTATAGATAAGATACTAAAGGTTAAATCATTTAATTCAAAAATTGTAAAACCTGAATTCAAATACACAGCTTCAGAAAACATGACGTGCCCTTGACTCTTCCCCAAGGTTACTTCAGGAGATGCTACATTAGAAGTTCCAATGCATAAAAGAAACAAAGGCAGTGAAAGGATACAGAGCAAAGGGATGTGTATTGTTAAGACCTAATGGTCTGTTTCCTTTACTTTTTGTTTGCTTATTTCTGTTTTTCCTAACTGGTATAGGTGTGTATTGCGTAGAGTAAGGAAAGAAGTAAACCAAGAAGAGAGAAATTAAAGTGAAAGGGTTGGGTTTTTTGAAAAGTTGAAATAGTAAGCCTTGTATTGGCCATTTGTTGCACAACCTATGAGCTAAGACTATTCTAATCACCCTTTGTTTAGGCTTCTGGCATCACATGGCAGCTAGAACTTCACATCAAATATTCTTCACATCAAATACTCTTCAATGGGATCCTTAGACACAAGAGAAGTAGCTTACTGAAAACCATCATTCCAACGATTGTGGGCTTAGCATCACCTGTGAGTGCAGTTATCTGGGAAGAGGCTCCACAGTTTCACCTGTCACTAAGGGCATCCCTGAGCCAAAATGGTGAAGAAAAGCAGAACTTCTATAGCTTCCTATTGTACTTCCAAGGAAGTTTCTCCTTTTTCACAACCGCATTTACTGCTTAAGCCCAAGTGCATTCTCTCTTTAGGACTTCAAATATAATCATTCAATATCTTACTGTACACCATCAACCTCCTCAAGAATGTGCAATAGCATCTCAAACTCAACATGGATGCATGCGCACTCATATAAACACTCTCCTCCTACATCTCCTACCTTATTTTGTAACTGCTGTCCTCTCAACCATCCTGGAAAGCTGGTATTGTCTCTCTGAATCTTTCATTTAAGTACTAACCTGCTAATTATACCTCATAAGGAACCACTGAGTCCATATCATCTTTTATGGCACTATATCCACTTTTTTACTTTTTTAAAAATTACTTATATTTTTATTTATTTGAAAGAGTTACAGAGAGAGGAAGAGAGACAGAGAGAGATATTTTCCATCCACTGCTTTACTCCCAAGATGGAAGCAACAGCTGGGGATGAGCCAGACTGAAGCTAGGAGCCCAGAGCTTCTTCCAGGTGTCCCACTTGGATACAGGGGCCCAAGCACATAGGTCACCTTCTGCTGCTTTCCCAGGCACATTATAAGGGAACTGGGTCAAAGTATAGGTTTGTCCCAGCACCCATATGGATGCCAGCAATGCAGGTGGAGACTTAACCTGCTACGCCACAACACCAGCCCTGACTACATCTACTTTTATATAACCTCTTCTCTGGTCTTTCTTTCTCTCTCTCTTTCTCTTTTTCTCTCTCTCACTCTTTCTTTCTTTCTTTCTTCCTCTCTTCCTTCATCCTTTCTTTCCTTCCTTCCTTCCAAGATTTATTTATTTGTCTGAAAGATAGAGCTTAGACAGAGACAAGGGAGTTAGAGAGAAAGGTCTTCTATCTGCTGGTTCATTCCCCAAATGACCACAACGGCCAGAGCTGGGCTGATCCAAAGCCAGGAGCCAGGAATTTCTTCTGGGTTTCCCACACAGCTGCAGGAGCCCAAGCACTTGGACAATCTTAGGCTGCTTTCCCAGGCCACAGCAGAGAGCCAGGTCAGAAGAGGAGTAGCTGGGACTGGAACTGGTGCCCATATGTCATGCCAGCACCACAAGCAGAGGCTTAGCCTACTATGCCACAGCTCTGGCCACTTTATAGTCTCTTTTAAATTATCCATCCATTCCATATTACTTTAAGTGGCTCATCAAAGATGTCTTTGCATGGCACACAATGTCTGAAAACCACTCAGCCTCCCATTTTCCCTTTTCCCCATTCTTTCGCCTCCACACTTTATATTTCATTTCCAGAATGACAGTTTTTATGGAAATGTCATTCCTATTTCACCGGAGTTGTGCATTCTTTGTAGCATACCCTTTCCAATATCTCTCCTCCCCTTCCCACCCTACTGACAAATTTCTATCCACACTAACTCACTCTGCGTTCTTGAAGCCCCCTTGACTTCCTAAGCGTGAATTAAAGCCCCTCCTTTGTGCTTTACTCTAGAGCAATGGTTCTCAAACTTTAGTATGCTTCAGAACTCACCAGAAAGACGTGTTGAAACACAGATTGCTGATTCAGGTTTTGATTCAGCAGGTGTTGAGGTGAAGCCTGAATGGTTGACCGGGTCAGTCACCATGAAGAACTTAACCACACACTTACTCAACTGGCTCAACTTCTGGTGATCACCTCTGGCTCATAATTCCCAACCAACATGGTGGGTCAGCATATTACTTAGTTGCAAATAAACTATGCCTGGGGTTCATTCTGCATTAGCCATCCATTTTAGAATAGGTTCCAGAATTAGTAGGCCTATGGAGGCATCACTACCTTTCAATCACACCTGTCCCAGAGGTGTTGCTCTCTCTTGCTCTTTTTTATTGGTATATATTAGGATTTGATCTCCTTAAGCAAATGCCGTTAGTCACATCAATAGTTTTAATGACTTGATCTTCAAAATTCTTGATTGATTTTAGGAGAGGATTGCCAAGGTTCTTGGAGTTGTAACGTTTAGGACTGGGATGATTTTGAATCTTTCATTTCCTGGATCAGTGTCAAACTAAATAATTATTTGATTCTGCAGATAATTTTAGGAGTGACAACAAAGAAAAGTTTATAATCATTTGGAAAATTAATGTTATATTTGCAATGATAAAACAGTTCTTTCAAACTGCTAAGAAATGTGTGTATAAAAAGAAAAGATTCAAGATTTTCACTTCCATCATAGAAGATATACGCCCAAGAGCAGTAAAGCAATTTATCTACTTAAAAAATAAATATGTAAGTGGGTTTCTTAACAAAAATCTCTTGCATAATGCTATCTTTACTGGGATTGTAACATAGGGTGCATTGCCTAGTTGGGTACAAACAGCAGTGGAAGCCCTCTGTATCTTAATATCAGATCCTCTGCTTTGAGAATCCTTGGAAGATCATTTTCCTGAGTTAATTTAAGACATAGAAAAACATTTTGCTGCATCTGTTTAAAAGATGACTTTTTCAGTGGCCCTAGAGAAGCATAAGAACATAGTTCTTCCTCCACTTCCCCTCACTTGAAGACACTCCTTTTTGTTAGCATTTATTAAATCAAACTTTGCTTCAAAAACTGTCTTCAACATGTTTCAAATTATGTAGCATGTTTAAGACATTACCTACTTTGTTCACATGAATAAATACACACCTCTTACATGATCTGCTCAGTATCTGATGCCTAATGAATGTTAAACATTCTGGACTTGCTTCCCTCCTTTGAGTCAAAGAGGGTGCTTGTCATTTGCCCTCTCAAACATGGATTAGAAAAAGAGCTTCCACAGCCCCTTTCCCATCCGTTGGTTCTGCCAGATTTCTTTTGATCTGAACCAGAGTCCCTAATTGGCTCTCCAGATGCCTACAGGTCCTTGTAACTTTACAGGCTATGGTAACTCATTTCCTGAATCCCTTCATACATCAGGAGAACCTGAATAAGCAGGCTTTTGTGGACTTCCTGGAATTATCAATGCCTTCATAAAAATTGCCTAAAATTATACCCTGTAGCAGGACACTGATGTTTAGCTTTTTTTTTTTTTTGTATAGTGCCACACACAGTTGTTTACTCAATGATTCTAATGATCAGAATCTACCTAGTAATTTACATTTTTTCAAGCTATATTGATGCCAGAATAGATAGTTTTAACCCTTTCTTTAACTTATTGGTACACCTACCCAAGATTCTCAACAGCTCATGTTTTTAAATAAATTATTCTTCCTCCACCTCCTAACCTCTTCTCCCTGACAAGTTGGAACTCAGCACCTGATTGCAATATTCAGCGAGAGGAGGATTACCAGCAGATAAAGTCTATTATTCTCAGACTGAGGTACATCCCTGGTTTCAAAACAGCTTTATGCTATGATTGTAGTCATCAGTGAACGATTGCAAGAACGCTGGCATTTATGTAACAAAACAGGAACTCTTTCCTCTGTACACCGTCAAACTATTACTTGTTTGACAACACGCATCTTACTTACGCCAGAGCTTAAAATTACCAACATTTTCTCTTTAATTTGCTTAAAAAGTAAAATTCCTTCCTTTTTATGTGAATTACTCTTTAATGTAATTTCCCTTGAAAATTCTTTGTCTATTGTAGAAATTAAGAACTCTAAAATTAACAACAGGATGTAGAGCACTTTTCAAAAGAATACAGAAAGACACCAAGGTACCAGCGTTGTGGCTTAGCCTGTAAAGCCGCAACCTGCAATGTCGGTATCCCATATGGGCGCCAATTCAAGTCCTGGCTGCTCCAATTCTCTGCTATGGCCTGGGAAAGCAGCGAAAGATGGCTCAAATCCTTGGACAGTTGCACCCATGTGGGAGACCCAGAAGAATCTCCTGACTCCTGCCTTTGGATCAGCCAGCTCTGGCCACTGAGACCACTTAAGGAGTGAACCAGCAAATGAAAGACCTCTGTCTCTCTGCTCTGCCTCTCTGTAACTCTACCTTTCAAATATGGTTGCTCCTCTTCCAGTCCAGCTCTCTGCTGTGGCCCGAGAATGCAGTGGAGGGTGGACCAGGTCCTTGGGCCTTGCACCCATGTGGGAGACGAGGAAGAGGCACCTGGCTCCTGGCTTCGGATCGGCGCAGCGTGCCTGCCGTAGCGGCCACTTGAGGGGTGAACCAATGGACAAGGAAGACCTTTCTCTCTGTCTCTCTCTCTCTCTCTAACTCTGCCTGTCAAAAAAAAAAAAAAAAAAAAAAAAAAAAAAGGATTATTCTTTACAGACCAGAGAAGAGGAACAGTGATTGTGGCCATCCTAAATTACTTCTTAGCAAAGAAGCCCTGTTTCTTCTTCTTCCCGGGCCTTTTTTTTCTCTGTAATACAAAAGTAAAGTCAACATCTGCTGAGTCATTTCAGAGTGTTGGCTCACATCCTAGCACTGGCCACCTTGAAAGTGATATTTCCTCTCTCTGTCTTTATTGAGTGTTTTCTATATGCCTTGGTTGTTAAGTTGCTCTACTCTTAGAAATACTCTAAGGTAAATATTAATAGCCACCCATTCTCACTCCAGCAATAACTAACGAGGTAACTAAAACACAAAGAGATCCCAAGTGAAGGAGAATCCTGGGAGTTGAGTCCAGGCTTCTAAAGTTCATGATTTCTAGGTTGTAATAGGAAATAGCAAGCAGCTTCCTGTAACTGAAAAAATACAAACTTTCGTTTTATGATTTCACATGCTGAAAATTTAAAACAAAAGAAAATACTTGCAAATTGTATCAAAGGTGTATTTGTTAGAAGTTATAGCCACTAGACAAAAATGTTCTCCCATCTGAAGGTGGCTAGACATAATACTGCTACTTACACCAAGTCAGATTGTATGTACCCATCATTCTCACCCTCCACACTTTTTCTAACCTCATGTTCCTGATCCTTTCTAGCTATATTATCATATATTTGCTGCTCATTTACCTCTACATGGTGAGAATGCTTTCTTTTTTCTTCAGTCACAAAATGGGCCTCTATATTCATACATTTATAATCACACATATTCATGAATAAAAGAATGTGAATGTAGACTGTGACTGAGATAGTCACAAAGGTTATTTTTGCTTTGTTTTTAAGAAATAGAATTCTAGGGGTCAGCGCTATGGCATAGCAGGTGAAGTCACCTCCTGCAGTGCCGGCATCCCATGTGGGAGCCGATTTGAGTCCCAGCTGCTCTACTTCCAATCCAGCTCTCTGATATGGCCTGGGAAAGCAGTAGAAAATGGCCCAAGTCCTTGGACCCTTGCACCCATGTGGGAGATCCGGAGAAGCTCCTGGCCTCAGATTGGCTCAGCTCCAGCAGCTGCGGCCATCTGGGGAATGAACCAGAGGATGGAAGATCTCTTTCTTTCTCTCTGCCTCTACCTCTCTGTAACTCTACCTTTCAAATAAACAAACAAATCTTTAAAAAAAAAAAAAGAAATAGAATTCCAGTGGTTGTATCCACTGTTCTGAATGATAGGAGACAGCTTTTCTTTTGCTGTCTGTACAAGAATGTAAGGACCAGTTGAGTGAAAAAGAGGGAGAGAAACTGAGTAGTAGACAGGAATAACAGTTTGAATAGAGGGGAGTTCTTAAGAGCTCAAAGGATAAAGATGAAAGTGGAATCAGATTTTTTTTTGTAAGCAATGATAAGTGCTTAATATCACCACTTGCTTTCAGTATTACTTGACTCCTTTTAAAATTTATTTCATTGTTTGCTTCTACCATATTATTAAGAAGTAGTCTTCCAAAGAATTGATACTACTTACATGTATTTTCTAGTGAGCAATCTTTCTGCTTCCATTGGACATTCCTTTTATAGTCAACCCTACCTTTGAGAAACCTAACTTGGTACCAACAATAATATTAGAGCTACAACCCCTTTCTCCCGCAACACTGTTGATGCTTAATCAGGTTGTCCCTTATACTTTCAAAGCACTTTTTACTGAAACAGTCTCTTTAAAACTCAGCAGAAATAGAAAAACAGAATCACAGTGATATTTTACTGTCCTGAAATAAGGATAAACCCACAAATCTACAATAAATGTTAAAGAATGAATGATCATGTGGAAAAGTGAGAAGAACAAGGACTTCTGAATCAATCAAGTGACCCTGAATTTGAATCCTATTAAAAAAAAATAGAAAGGCCCATTCAAACTTTCTGATCTCATTTTCTTCAACTGCAACAGAATGATGATAACATCAACTCCTTTATATGTGTTTGGGATTAAAAATGAATTGTCTATCAATCTACTAAGCTGAGAGTGGTGGCTTAATAAATACAAACTATTTTTATTCACTTATTTGATCCATATAGCAGCCTGGTAAAAAAAATAATAAATTGTCTTTTGTAATTTTGCCAACCAGGCACATATATTTGTTCTGGAGAATCCTAATACAATAGTGTATGGTTAATGAATGTTTGGTGAACTGGGTTGCTCTTTCAGAATGGAAAGACTGTAAAATAGCACATATCAATTTTACCTGTGCTTTGTTGTCTTTGGAAAAACTGAATTTGACATTTCAAATGTCCCCCAAGAAAGGGCTTCCCAAATCTTACTATTGAACAGATTTAGGTAAGCAAAACCTACCTCGAGTGTATGAATTTTCTGACAACTCTTGATAGATTTTAAACATTCACCTCAACAAATAGGTTTAGAGTTTCAAATTGAACTTTAGTCCTTGATCCTCAAGTCAATTTCTGATGGAAAAATGCAGCTCTGGTTTTCACTGGGGGAGGCTAAAATATTGAAATGACTTTTTGGCTATCAGCTGTTTTTTAAAAAGTTCCATGATCTCATTGTGAGTGAGTAAAACACATGTGGATTAAATTTTCTTAAAATATACAAGTTTGAAAAATCAAAGGAACTTGGTCTGATTTCGGCTGACAGAAAAGCATTTGCTACTCAATATCAACCTCCTTCTTTTGCATTTCTCCTTGACCGTTTTCTTCTTGCAAAGTGCTTTGTGCTCATGAACTCAGCATGTAAAAGTGATGTCAGAAACATGAGCGACATTGAAAATCAGCCCTGGGAGAAGTTGTTTAATGAAACCTGAACCAATCACCATGTGCAACTCATGAACATCTCTTTGAGAGCCTCATACCCTCAAAGCATATTAAGCTGTTTTCACATTACTTTAAAATTGCCTTTTGAAATACTATAGCATTGACGTTTGGTTCTTATTCCTAAATATATTAGTATTTCTAGATTTATGAATTAGTTGGTTTTTAATTTTTGAGGCTAGTCATTTCACTCAGAATATACCCTCTAAAGTTTTCTTTCAAGCATAACATACTTTCTGAGAGAGAAAAAATTCTGTTCTAAGTCTCAGAAAATGTAATGAATATGCATGGTCTTCTTTAAGATGATTATATTGCCACAAGAATTGTGAACTCTGATTTGGGAAAATGGAAAGTACTCATGGTCTTGAATTCAGAGGCAAATTTATACTATATTGAATGTGTACTTTTCCTCACTGTTAGATTTTTCATTTGGCACCACTTCTTGTGAAACTGCAACTGTTCAATGAGAAATTCTTAGAGATCAGTTTTCTATCACATTTCTTTTAATAGCTTAGAAATAAGTAAATGTGGAGCAGACATTTAGACTAGCAGTTAATATGTCCACATCCCATTTCAGAGTACCTGATTTTGATACCTGGCTTTGGTTCCTGACTCCAGCTACTTATAATGCAAACCCTGGGACACAGTAGTAATGGCTCAAGTGATTGGATTATTGTCACCTACATGGGAGACCTGGGCTGAGTTCCAGGTGTCTTGCTACCAGCTTTGGCCTCTTGCCATTGTAGACATTTGGGAAATGAACCAAAAGATAGAATCTCTCTCCCTTCCTCTTTCCTCTTCTCTCTCTCTCTCTCTCTCTCTTTCTCTCTCTTTCTGTCTCTCTCTTTCCCACTCCCCCCTCCACCAAATAAAAAGTTAACTTTTTAAATTAATAAATGTGTACACTCCTTTTCACTGCCCCACCACTCAGCAATAAATAGGTAAAATGGGTACATGGAAAAACTGGGAAGATTCAGAGGGTGCCAGGATATTGTGACTATGCAAGCTCATCACTGCACTGTGGTCTGCTCTCTAAACAGACATCCTGTGGTTAGCAGAGTCAATAATGGAAGCTTTCAAAGCTTCTTCCCAAACAAAAATAATAGGCTTTAATAAAATTGTACTGACCATTGTGTAAAGAGTGAGAGAGAAAAAGACAATAAGTAGAATGGGGAGTACATTGTTAGACCCATCACCGCATTGCCATCAATAAAGTATTGAGTACCTACTTACCAGGTGAAGGGTAATATACTAGGCCCTTTGTATGCAAAGTATAAGCTGCAACCCATACCTATACAGGATTCACAAATTAACTTAATTTAGTTTAGTTTCCTTTCTCTTCCCTCTCTCCTCTCCTTTCTATTTTTCTCTCTCTTTCCTATATGCGTATGTATATACATGTATATAGAGAGAAACTTATACACATATAAACATTGTGCATATACAAAAAACTCATCAAAGAAAAGCAGCATATAAGAAATTTCATGAAGGTGGTAAAACAATAATCATTCCAGAATTGTAGAGAAGGTCTGCTTCTTGTTTATTCTTAGTGGATATAGAAAAAATGCAAACAACAGAAAGAAAAGAAAAAGAAGGGAGAATTTTCCCAGAATCAAAAGTTTAAGCTGATGTCCATGTTATGGGTGATTAGAATCTGAAGCAAGATAGTGACTATGAAGACAAGCACAAAAAGGCATGGATTGTAGAGACATTTGGGAGATAGGAGTCTACAACTCTCATGACTTTTTATTGCCTTTTCCTAGGCAGCTTTCCTTGGCCACCCCTCTACAGAAATGCTTCTCAAGCAGTAGTATGACCTTCTGATCCAACTCCCTACTAATGCGCCGGGGAAAGGAGAGGGGGATGGCCCAAGTCCTTGGAGACCTGAACCCACATAGGAGACACAAAAGAAGCTTCTGGCCCCTGGCTTCAGATCAGCTCAGCTCCAGCCATTGCGGCCATTTGGGGAGTGAACCAGTGGATGGAAGACCTCTGACTCTCTGTGTCTACTTCTCTCTGTAGCTCAGTCCTTAAAATAAATAAAATAAATATTTAAAAACAAAAGTTGGTAGTGTGACTAGATTTATTATTTTCCCAATCTGTTGTGGACTGATAGCTTTTAAAATACAATAAAAATGAAT